CTCAACTCTTCGGGTATACCTTTATTAAACTCATCAGAAAGATCTTGATAAATATTTTTGCTAGATTTTAGCCAATTACCCATAGGGTTAATACAGCGATGAAAACAACCGACATTATCATATGCCTTATCCAATCTCTCGCCATACCTATGCAGACCATACCTATGCAGACCTATGCATACCTCCAGCCATTCCTGACATCTCACGAGCGATCCGTAAAACGTGTTAATCGTATGCTTGAGATCATCGCCGAGATTATCGTTCATAATATTACCGGCCGTTTGGTCGCTATAATACCGGTTATATCTATCCGTACACTCCCTGTATAAGCGCTGATATTCAGTGTATAGCTGAATTTGAGCATGGTACTCGGCCACAGTGCACTCGCGATAACAGTCAGCTAGTTGAGTTTTAAATGTACCAGCGCACTTTTGGGCATATTTTAGATCTTGTATGAAAGTGTGCAGCTCTGAATCCAGTTTATGTCGCAATATATTGCGATATTCATTGCATATGTTTTTATAGCCCACCATATCGTAATAGATATAGTCAATTTGGTTCACTTCAAATTGTGTGTCGCATGTATCTAGGTGATTTTCGCTTGCCTGTGTTAGCTGGTTTGTACTATCCGATAAAATTAGCACCCAGTTGTATTCATTTTTTATTAGTCCAATGTATTTGTTAAGGTAGTTTTTGACAGGAAAGTATATTTTGCCAATAGAGTTATCTAGCTCAAAAATAAAACCAATATCGTAAATTGTGCAATTTTGGCGTGTACCATCCGGATCAATTAACTCTATTGTCTTGTTTCTAATTATGTCAATGTTTTCATTATATTGCAGTATAAATGCCTCTAATGGATAGTTGTCTTGATTAGTGTTTAAAGTTTTAATAGAATTTGTAATGAGTTTTAAGCACATTGTGAAATGTTTTTGAACAATATTAGCTTGGTGAATAAATTTATCATTTTCCACCACGGTGTATCTCTGGCAATACAATTGATATTCATTGTAAAAATGATTATGATTAATGTCTTGGAAAATAAACCGGTGAAATAATTCTCTGATTTTAGAATGAAATATATTCAAACTAACTACATGATCAATCTTATGGTCAGTATTACAACCATGATCATCTATTTGTGGTTGAATGCACATGGCAAGAATTTTATCTAATATTTTACATAGTTGATCGCGAATCTGATGTCTAAGGTTTCGCACTTGAAAATAGTACAAAAGTTTATCTCAAAACATGTCCAACTGTTTATTAAATGTAAGTGGTTATTATACTTATCTGTGCTCATCCAGATGGCTGTATAGTTCATAAAGTGAGGTGTTATATTGCCATTCCGGCATGTGTTTTAATATTTCTGTGCAGCATGGTCGTTTAGAATAGGTCCCGTTTGTCATTTGGCCAACGTACTCTACTAGGCGTTTAACTTTTGTATTATTCGGTGCAAGGTCGTTTAGGGTACTGTATTTATATTTAACAAGATCAATTGGGTTAAAATATTAATTTAAAAAAGTTAATTAATATTTAATGGTATAACATTTTTTGACATTTATATAAACAGTTATATTACTACAAGCAATTAATTATTTTTCTTAATTTTTTTTGGTTAAATGTATATATAATTTTTAAAATTTTCAAAAATAAATAAAAACTTATAAAATGTTAGTTTGATGAATGTTAATTGTGAAAATAGGTTATTGAAAATTGTATTAAGTTTAAGTCTAGAGGTAATGACTTTTGGTTATATAATATTCCCCAAGAGCAAATAAAATTTTATGCTATTCATTAATGTTTTTTTATAGAAAACTTTTATACAGCTTCAACGTTGTTTTAATATAACAGACAAATTATTTAGCAACTTGATAAACTAACTAAACAAATTAAATTGATAACTAATAAAACTACTTCTATATCTAGTAAATTATAATATTTTTGTATTTTGATGAAATGATTAGTGGCAACTAATTCGCCCAATAACAATTTAACTTTAGTGTAATATTAATACATACTAGTTTATTATAAACATATTTACAGTTATTACAGTATTTTCTTTACTTTAGTTTAAAATTATTGCAAAAATAGCAAATTACCTGTCTAAATAAAACAAATTGACCACAATAATACCCAAGCTATAAACATCGGACTCTGGATAATAGCGGCCATTGAAACACTCGGGCGCCATATAGCCCAGAGTGCCGGCACCGGCAGTNTAAAACAAATTGACCACAATAATACCCAAGCTATAAACATCGGACTCTGGATAATAGCGGCCATTGAAACACTCGGGCGCCATATAGCCCAGAGTGCCGGCACCGGCAGTGAGTGTAATACTCTCACTGGCGTTGGCCTTAATCAGGGCTAAACCAAAGTCGCAAATCTTACAGAATATTCCGTTCCCTGAGTTTTCCACAAACAGAATGTTCGCCGGCTTTAAGTCCCGGTGTATAACCGGCGGGTCTAAGCCGTGCAGGTATTCCAGTCCGGACACTAGTTGCCGAAATATTTCGCACGATAACAAGTAGTCTATTGGGTGCCGATCCGGTTGTGTCTGTAGTTGGGAGTCCCGGTCAGTCCCGATCCCAATATCGTCCCCGATATCTATACCGAAAGCCCTGGCCTTTAGTGTCATAACGTTATTGAGATTATGGCCGCAAAACTCCATCTGAATGTATATAACGTTGCGCTCAACCCATGCGTCAAAACACTTGACCACATATACACTGTGTAGTGATGTTATAGTTTTCATTTCATGTATTGCCTTTTCCCGTAAATTTTCTGTTTAAGAATATAATTAATTAATTAAATAACCTTGTTGAATTATGTAAAAATTTCAACATACCCTCAATTAACACTTGTTTCACAGCGTATATTTTGCGGTTAGATTTTTGGCGCACTTTATATACAGTGCCAAACCCGCCGGTTATACCTTCGTTAAGGGTATCAAAATCGTCGGTAAAGTTGGGACACATTTTTGTCGCACAGTTTAGTAATTGTGTTATAATTAATTAAGTTAATTAATACAGTAACATATAGTAATGAATTTCATTTACTAATGCAACATGCACATGATTTTTTCTACCATAATTATTTTTATGAGTACAATATAAACATAAATCAAAGCAATTAACATTCCTTAGCTATTATTAATACAGAGATAGTATTCACTTATCTAAACTAAATTGGAGTAAGTACGTTTGGTAATTAAAAATCTACGTCATTCCCTAAATAAATTCAGTTTGCCATTGATTGTAACATGTCATAGAGGTTGTAATAAATATGAGTTTAAATTTAATTCTGTCTAAATCGGATACATTAATACTTATAATTTTAATTTTATGTTACATAATAATGTAATAAATTAATAAGCTAATAAATTATTAGTAATAATAATAAGACGACTATGGTAATTAACATACATGTATTTTAAAAATGGACTCATTTAATACATAATGATTATTCACCATCGGCTTTTTAAATTAATATTTATAATCTAGTCTCGTATTAATAACATAATTTATCTATTCATGTAAAGTAAAATTTTAGGAATTTGTTGTTAATCTGTAGCGATGCGTTGTAAGTACCAAACAATATAACTAATTAACTAAAAATACTGTTAAAATATTGTTGTAATGTTTATTTACAGTTATCAACATAATTAATTTTTATAAATCAGATTCTTATTAAACATATAAAAATTAATAATTAATAAAAATATATAGAAATTAATTAAATAAATAATAAAATTACTAAATAATTAAAAACACGAATTATATTATATTATGTTTAATTTAATTTAAATTATCATTTCAAATATTTTTATTTAAAATGCGTCAATGTAAAATAAGACGTGACATTGATTGGCTAATACCCGGCGCCCAACTTGTGTGGCGACAATTGCGGTGTTTGCTCTCCAAACCAGGCCTTAGGTCCGCCTTCAACGGGCGCTACCTTTTGATCCGACACTTGTTGGCCACGGGATTGAGTCTATCGATAGACAAACCACACACTCAGCGTCCATAAGAATACATTAACAAAACCACAAATCTATGTAAAACAAAAACAATATAATTCATAGAATAACCAACTAGCAATTTATACAACAATAAGGTGGGTAATAAATACTTGTGATATATTGAGCATGGTCCATATCCCGGGGTTTGACTCATAGCACTCGCCGCGTGGGTTAGCGCTATCATCTGTGTTGGGATGACTACTTAACTCCAACCCTATCCACAAATTACATGGACTCGCAAAATAACGTATTTTATGTACGGTTACCGCCCATACAGTGGTGGCCACCGGACAAACTATGGCCAACATAATGGTGCCAATCATGTCAATGGTGGCCCAAAATGGACGTCCAGCGCACGCGTGTAGTACGAGTGCGGCCATTGAGTATACGGCGCATATAAGACACGTCATGGCGTAAAAGTGGGCACCAAATGAGTAATTATTTTGATATGTGATTGTCTGTCGAGCGGCGGTAGGGTTAGCGCAGCTTCTGTAGGATCTAAGTGTTTGATCCGTGAATTCGAACGGATACTCGACGTAAACGTAAATTTTTTCTTAAAAGTTAAGATTGTTTACATAAATAATTAATTCTTGAATTTACTAAATAATTTATGCAAATATTTTCCCTAAAATGACCTAAATGTCTAAATTAGTATTAACTTTTTCTATAACTAATGCTTAATGAGAATTTGTGGTTACTTTATAATAAAATGATCAATCTTTAAAGTATACTTTAAAGTACGGTAAATATGTGGTACCCGCTGTCTTATTAAAGCGAGTGCACGCCATGGTAAATGATGTTACCGTATTAAACCAATAATAGTCACAAAGGCTGATATGGCAAATCCCTATATACACAATTAAAAATAAATAATTAATATTTTATAATTTAAATTTGTTTTGGCGATACACTAATCAAGATTATGATTCGGATACTAATTAAACATATTTTGTTGCAACTGATGCCTATGTCCATCACCGTATAAATTTACACAATTGTGTAAACCGTATAGGAATTATACATTAATAATGTAACATTATAAATGGGGGTTTGTATATTAAATGCCACAGTCTTGCCCATGTGTTTTAATTTTTGTTTAACCCAATATTTCACAGCTAATAAAAATTTTATAAATTTAAATGTAATTAATTGTTTTAAATGGGAAAATAATTTATACTTTAAAGTTTTATAATACTTAAAATACACATTGACGGATACTGTTTTAATTAGTGTTTACTCACCTTTCAATTGCTGTAGATTAAATAGCTGTTGGTACATTTATTATTTATAAAAATATAATAAACTATTCAATTGGATTGTTTAATTTATAATGCTACTTTCTATAAACTGCTCATTAAACAAGCTCAATTAAATATCTGCAAATAATTAAAACGTTGAGTCAACAATTAATTACAAGCATGCATATTTGTAACAGTAATTGTTACAATATATTAAAACAATCTCAATTGGTTACATTAATTTATAAAATTTTATAAATATTATTCGCAATTTATAATAATAACTTATAATAGCACATTATTGTTCTAGCATGAAATGTCATATAACACATTATTGAAATATGCTCAAATGTGTTTTACTCATTAAACAGGAATTTTAATGTAAATTTTAAAAATATTCTATACATGAATAATATTAGAAAAAATTTATGAAAATATTATGCATGTTGATATTCTAGTTGAGTAGTGAGCAATGGTGTAATTATTATGCAAAATCTAAGTATTATTAATTTATATTAGTAATATTTACCCAATATTTCTCTGTTAAATTAATATTTGTATGTAATATTTATACTTCTATTTTAATTAATAAAGTACATTTATAACAATTTAGTAAAACAAATTAAATTGTATTGAATTATATTAAATATAGCCCATTTCCTGATCATTAATTGCGTAATGTAAATAATGAATTTTCAAACTTAAATAATTTACCTAAAAATATATTTTACTTACATTTATTTGGATCATAAGCCATTAAATTTTTAAATTAAAAAACATTTATAATAATTATAAATTATAATATACTGGTAATTTATATATATG